AATGTAGTTATAAAATGTCTTCATGTTTCCCTTTATGCTTCCCCCCAAACCTCGATGAGGTCCACGATCTCCGCACTTGACCAGGCGGGCGCCCGCCTTTTGCGCCCCCGGGCAGGCTCCCGGGAGCCGCCAGGCTGGTCGTGGGGAGCAGTGGAGGGCTGGGCGCCCTCGGATGGCTGGCTCATGTTGTGGCAGGTGCAGGGACTGCTGGCACGGGTGCTGGCAGCCTTGCAACTGGAACAAACTGTGTAGCCAGCCCGTGGCCCTTTAAGGACTCTGGGGCCGGGAGGGGGGCAATAGAGTTTCCCTGGTGTTGGCCAGAGTGGCCACCAGGGAAACCTGGCAAGCCTTAGCCTCCCACTAGTTTGAATTAAGGGTCTACACAGCCCTTAATTCGAACTAGCTAGTTTGAACTAGGCTTAATCCTCGTAAAATGAGGTTTACCTAGTTCGAACTAAGCACTCCATTAGTTCGAATTAAGTTCGAACTAACGGAGCGCTAGTGTAGCGCCTATCAAAGTTAGTTCAAACTAACTTTGTAGCATAGACATACCCTGAGATTTCTCAGTCTCTCTCTCTCTCTTACTTTCTTCCCTATAACTGGAATCTAGAATCATAGCAACTTTTCTCCTCTTCAGAGTCCCAACAGTTCTGAGAGATAGACTCACATATTATGTTGGACTTGTTATGGAACAGGGGATTTATATATACGTTCAGACTACTCCTAAAAAGCTTTGCTTTCGTAGACAACTACCCTGGTGTTTCTCATGTGCTTCTGTCTTTACATATTGAGGCCAGGGGCCAAAATCCAAATCCTTATTGCCCTACTCACGCAACTAGTCTAGTTAACTTATAAGGAACTATTTCTGTGAAAAAGGGCAAACTGAATTCAGCCCAGAGTCACCAATCTGACTATGGAATAGCTCTGGAGATTGACACACTGAAGTTTGATTTAGCAGATCTAGTATATTAAGGACCCACTAAATTGACTGCTGATGGCATCCCTGTCGACCCCAGTACTCCAGTGGGTTGCAAGGAGTAGGGGAAGTCAACAGGAGAGTTTCTCCCATCGAGTTCCTATATACTGCCTTCTGAGGCTTGCATATCATAAGAACATAAGAACATGAGAACGGCCGTACTGGGTCAGACCAAAGGTCCATCTAGCCCAGTAACCTGTCTGCTGACAGTGGCCAACATCAGGTGCCCCAAAGAGGGTGGACCGAAGACAATGATCAAGAGATTTGTCTTCTGCCATCCTTCTCCAGCCTCTGACAAACAGATGTTATAATGGAAACTTATGCATAGCTCAGTTTCTATTAGTTCTAATTGTTGACCAGAATCATAGAATATAATGAGTTAAAATGTACTGGACTTTTGAAGAGGAAGATAGGTACAATTACATTTTATATATTGTATTTGTGGGTGTATCACAAATACAAATCCTCAAAACAATCATCAAGAGATGTGACATCAATACCGCACACTGGGACACAATAGTCAAGGATAGTGACATCTGGCAAAGACTTGTCAGCGAAGGAACTTTCATTTTTTAGAAAAATTGCCCTGCCCTGATTGCAGAAAAATTCCAGAAAAGGAAGGAAAGACAACTGTCATGCAGCAATTGTGGCTTAAGCCTGTCTTCCAACACTACCTGTGGCTCAAAGATCAGACTCCTCATCAAAAGACCCATAAAACAATAAAACCTGTGAAACAGATCAACCTCAACCTAGAGGGATTGCTGCTAACACTATACACATCTTAGTAGACACCCATCATTGTTAGGCTGGAGATCAGAAAAGAGCTAGTGATTGGGTTTTGAAAAACCACACTCGGGGACATCCCTGTTTGAATTGCTTGTACTGTGGGTACCCAACAAAGAGAAGAAAACGCTAGAGGTTTTTTGCAAGCTGGTTGGCATTGTGATGAGTACCACAGAAATCCTGATATCTAACCAAAAAGAAGGAAACACTGGGAGAGACATATCTAAACTTATTCATCTGGGCTTTTTAGTTTCTCTTCCTTTTCTTTATTTGAGATAATATAAAGCAATAACCATGTGATCAAAGTGAGTGAATTTTATTTTTAATGGTTCAATATCTTCTGCACAGGGGGATACTGGTCTCAAAGGGATTGCAGGAATTCCTGGTTGGCCTGGCTTTGCTGTTCCCCCTGGAGTTACTGTAAGTTTCATTATTAGTAATTATGGACATTAATACCCACTGAAGCAGATGGGAGTCTTTCCACTGACTTGAATGTGAAGTTAATTCAAATCTTTATTGTGTGTGGATGATTGCTACCTCTATATAGGGGACCAACAGACTTTCCGGGCCCCTAGGCAAGGTTGAGGGGAGGGAGGTGACTCTGTGCTCCTGGAAGGGGTGGAGCCTTGGGCAGAAGAGGCAGGGCAGGAGACAGGCCATCAGTCCCTCCACGCACCCTCAGAGCTGTTCGGAGCGCTCTGCATGGTGCTCCAGTAGAGATTTAAAGAGCCCAGGGCTCCAGATGCCATTGCTCTTGCGGTAGTGGCAGCTGTGAGGCCCAGGCCCTTTTTAATAACCAAGCCCCAGGGCAATTGCCCCCTTTGCCCTTCCCCCCATTGGTAGGCCTGCCTCTGTATACTACTTGACAGCCATCATTTTCTTTTCCTGCTCTCTTCAGGGTCATATAAGGCTAGCAGGAACTCCTGGATTGAAGGTACCTTTATGAAACTCTAGTACTAGAAATCTTGCTTTTTGTTGAAGGAATAAACACTTCTAGTTTGATTCTAAAGGTTGCACAGGGCAGATTATAATTACAATGAATGACAACTTCCTTTCAATGTGGTAAACAGATGTGGAAAAAGATTAAAGGCTCCTGGAAACTGGTCCAAATTCTAACTTTAAAAGCATGTGGGTGTTGCAAAATTTATAACTGATGATATGCACAGCATTTTTTTTAAAATTCAAACATATCCTGGTATTAAGGTTGGAGAAAGTATGACCAGAACATTAAAAGAATTTTTGTGAAAGTAACATTGTGATGTTTAGGAACAAGCCAGAGCAAAGAGCAGTGTGGGTGCTGGAATGGATTTTACTCTTGTGGAGCACGAGGTTCGGGGGTTGGGTGAGGGGGCATAATGTTGCCTGGAGCACCTATAAGCATCCAGACAGAGCAGGGTGTGTGTTTGCTAGCACTCCTCATTGTGGGGTGTCATTTAATTTTCCCCCAGGCATAAGCAGGCTCTGCATGGGCTATATAGAGCAAGAACATGATCTCCTTCCCATTTCTTCCCTTCTGGCTATCACGTGCCCTCTGTGAAGAAAGGAAGGGGCAGCCTTTGTGCCCCTAAGGCACAAGGGAAAGCTCCTTCCTTTACAGAATAGCTATGTAAGAGCCAGATTCTGAATGGGGGCTCTTAATAACTGGCAAACGTATTCTATTTCCATGTGTATGACAAAGATAAAGGTTTCAATTTTCAGATGGCCTCAGTGGTGTGCCTTTGGAAAATTGTATATTTGCCACAAAGTCAGGGAATTGAATGTAAAACATCCTACTCTGCATGCAAAATATAAGAATTTTTGCATGCACAAATGTATATAGCATACATGTAAAAATTCTGTGTGTGCACTGAATGAACTGGGCAAAAAGGAGTTAAGAGCTTGTTATGGAACCTGATTTTATGGCTGAAACATAGATTAGGCTTTGCAGAATTCAATTTATGTTTTTTAAAATAAATTAACAGATGATATCTATGTTTATTTTAAAGCATTTCCCCCCCATTATATCTATTGAAATTTTTACAGTTGCAGGACACTAGTGGCAGGAGACAATTATTTAATTATAGCAGACAATGAAATTCAAAAAGTTAAAATTTTATGACCAGTACAAAACAAATTGTCAATGTCACATGTCAAAATATGCCAAATAAATGTTGCATATCTTAAATCAAGCTCTAGTAAGTTCTCAAGCAATATTTTTCTTACTTTGCCTGTCTATTAATGTTTGATTGTTCTCAATGGAAATATTTTTCTTCAGTTTATGTGTTTATGGGGAAATTGATATATAATGATACAAATCTGATCTTTCCAAGTCTAGGTATAATGAATTTAAAATTATGATAATCTGAGATAGAAAGCAAGTAGCTTCTGAAATGTTCATTTTTAGACATAATTTAGCTTTTTTTAAAGGAATTTTTATTATATTCTTAAATAGCAATTAGAGGCAGTAAATTGTATTTTAATTATTTACGGACTGATTCTGCCACCCTTGCTCACACTTTTCCTTACTCTACAGATAATCCTATGTTGGTTTTGCAACACCTGAGGATTCAACAGATCCTTTAATAGGTCCTAAATGCTACTAGCAGCCCTGTTGGCATGTAATATCAGTCAATTGAAAAGGAGCAATCAAGGCTGAAACACCAAAGTATTCTAGTTTAATAGATAGGGGATTGGGACCCTGGTGATGTGGGGTCTGTTCCATGAGGACTGCTGTGTGAATTTTCCTCTCTATAAAATGGGGATAATGGTAGTGACCTCCTTTGAGATCTACTGCTGAAAAAAGCCAGATCTTATTATTTACTAACATGTTATGAAGACAATATAATGAAAAGAGTGAACCAAAATAAAATGGCAGCAAGATAGCTTATATAACCATCATTTATTAGCAAACAGCACGTTGAGGAAGTGCATTTAGTATTGGAACAGAAAGTGGTGAGGTTGTTAAGCTTTTTATAATGTTCGCAAAAAATTGAATCTAAGAATTGAGTCTTGTGATTATTCTTAAAAAATATAATTATAATATTTGTGCGGGGTTACTTTCTCTGTGTAGGGGAATGTTGGTGTTCCAGGCATTAAGGGTCAAGAAGGTAACAAGGTACAATAATATATATGACATATATGTAATTAAATATTACATGTAACTAATTCATTGTTCACACAGTTGGCTTTATTATAGTTTTTATGAACTGCCACATAATTATGTTCCTTTTCTACAGATCTTAGCAACATGATAGCTTTTGACATTTACTGTTTTTATGGTATGTGGAACTTTGTACTGCTAAGTACATTTAAAGGAAGATTCTTTCTGGCTACAAATACTGCTGTGTTGCTTTGCCTTTGATTTCAGTGAGAGCATAATGCGCAGTCTCACTGAAAATGTGTTCCTTTATTTAGGTGCCTAATGTTGGACACACTGAATTTGAGAATATTGTTCTAAATGTCCCATAAAGAGCCAAGTGGATACTGCAATCAAAATTCTTCAAATATTTCAAATTTGAAAATTAATTGTGATTCAGCCCTATTTACTGCACTTCCATGTTCACTTTTCCCAAGCATAGAAGTGCTAGTGCTAGTGTTCATGATATGCAAGTGTTTAACTTGTGTCCTTGAATATTCACCATTGGCAATTTTTTTGAATTGTATACCAGATTATTTAACACTCAATTTGCACTCTATTGTATAAATGTGATGGCATTGTTTCAGATCTCTGGGTGACATTCATAGCTGACCAGTACAATGAAGACTGTGAATATTACATTTCAATACACAATCGGATATGTGTCCAAATTTTAAAGATATATAATTGTTGCTGCACTCAGTGTTGCAATGTCTAACTGATTTAAGAGACTCAATCTGATTTGCAAAAGGGATTTAGGCACTTAGTTGCTCAGGCTCTTGTCTCCTCAGTGCCCAAATTCTTTTTGAGATGCAGGCTCCTATATTAGTTAGGCATTGCAACACTGAATGCCATAATGCTTAAAAAACATGGCCATACAGTAGAAGCAATCTCCATAGAGTTTAGCAACAGCTGCTATGCAAACTTGTGTCAAAGATGGGGGGATGCTTAACTGAGGATTTGGCCTTATATGACTATATATTCTATGGACAGAAGTTTTGGATTATATGTTCAATGACCCTTTGCAATCACAGTTTGTAATTTGCAAACTGTATTTTGGATCTGGATGAAAAAGAGCTGCATACTTGTAAGGCATTAAAATTTTTACCTCCACATAAGGATAACAAACCAAGTAAAGGGAAACATCATTGTATGAATTTCAATGCCCAAAATAGTATTTGTATTTATATTTAAAGGGTGAGAAAGGAGTTAAAGGACCAAAAGGAAGTGTAAGTAAAAACACCTTTTACCCTCTTGCTGTTATGTCTTTATCTCAGGATGATACTTATACTGTGCTCATCAAAGCTGTATGCTATTTCAGTTTTTCATAGCAAATTTGTAATAAAGCCAGCAAGAACAAATTATAATAGATCAAATGCCATTCTAACAAATCTTCACTTACGAAGTGTTACTAAAAGTCAATTTTTTATTTTAGGTTGGAGATAAAGAGCCAACAGGACCAAAGGGAATTACTGGTAAAATAATTCCCCAGGAGAGACTGGATCCCTAGGCCAACCTGGAGAACAAGGTGATCCTGGAGATGAGGGTCCACCAGGAAATGTTGGATCAGTTGGACCTCCTGTAAGATCTAGTTCTTTTTACCTAAAATGTTATAATAGAAACTAGGCACCTATAGTTGTGATATGGTGTATCAAATTCTGCTCACAATTACATAATGCAGTAAGAAATGCGACTGTACATGTGTACATAGGATCAGAATTTGACAAAAAGGCCAAATTAATTCCTTATGTTAGTAGAATTATAGCAGAGATGAAATTGGGTCAATATTAGTTCTAAATTTTAATTTAAAAACTAAATTAATCCAACATTATAGAGCATTTTCCTGTAAAAATTGTTTACTTTTATAAAATAATTGGTTAATAAGGATCATTTGTTAATATTCTTGGAATTATCTTTTTTAATACCATCATAAAATTAGCTGTATAGAGACAAGAAACAGCAGGGTCAAATGTTGTTACGTGGATAATTTCAAGAAACTCAGGAGGTATTTCAGCGAGTTATACTATTAATGGAATGGTTCTTGCATATTTTATTTCTCTGACTGTTCTTATGTTTTTCTCATGCAGGGGCTGCCTTTCCCTGCAGCTCATCTGATAGAAGTGTGCAAACAAATCATCTTAGAACAAATGTCAATGTTTGCCAATAATGTTGGGAGGAAATGTGCCAGCACATGCCCACTTTATGGAGATGTGCCCATGGGACTTCCAGGACCTGTTGGTTTGCCAGGACCCTATGGAGAAGAGGTAATTATACAGGGGGAGAAAAACAAGCCTTTTCAAACATTTAACTGTTATTGAAACACTGAAAATATTGTTTTGTTCAATGAATTAAAACATGAACTGAAAAAAATAGTAAACATCTTTACATGAGGCAAGATTGTGTTTGCCTCAAATTAAAATCAATATGAGCTTACTAGTGACTTCAGTGGAGGACTCATTTTCTTCCTACAAGTACAATCCTATGGAAGAAATTACCAGGTTAAAATGCTATGTTATCTTAAGCTTAAAGAAATATGTAGTGGAGCTGTAATAAAATATCAGACAAATACATTTATTACAATCACAAGATGAACAATAATTTAATAACCTTTTATCCCCACATATAATTATGCTGTTAAAGAGTGATATGAAACAGGGATTTTATTTAGTGCTATTGTGTGTTGGCTACACTATCATGATGTTTGACAGCTCCAAAGGCAAATTCTGACTCATTACCATGGCATTCATCTTCCATTAATCTATGAAATATTAACCTCTGGAGGACCATAACTTCATTGTGTACAGCACAGTAGTATTTCCCAGTACCTTCAGTACAAGAAAGGAAAAGCTGCACGAGGCATAAGGGATTGGTCAGCAAAGGCTTCCCTTGCCGACCGATCTGCGACTTGACTACCACTTTGTGCTGCCAAATAGCTGAGCCAGCACAACGTGGTGGCCATGTTTATTCTAATGAAGTAGGGGATATTTAAATCCCTGCTTCATTGACTATGTTGGTATGTCTAATTTACATGCCTTGGTCGGCAGAGGCATGTAGTCTACACATACCCTAAGGTGCCACAGGACTGCTTGTTGTTTTTTCAATCTTTGTGTAGACTTCCTCCATCTTATTTCTTTGGTCTAAACACTCCTTGCTTTTCCACTTCATTCAGTTGCTTCTGAGCTCCTTTCAGTTTACCCCATTCACCCCACACTTTTGATGTATAGAGTCACTTACTAATTTGCTCCCACATATGGAACACTCTTCTTTCCCTTCCGGCAGTTGTTCTCACCTTTTCAAACTGCACTGCCATGTAAAACATATCTCCCTAACACATGCTATTTTCAGGAGCTTTTGGGCTTTCCCGTCTAGGGAATGTAATGATTTTTAATAGTCGAGTTAGCTGATCTGGTATTTACCATTGTTGACTGGTTGATTTTTAAAAGGCAAGCTGTGTTTTGTATCCACTTGGTTGTGAGAAAAACCTACTCAGACCAGTGCTTATCCATAACTAAACAGCACTCCAAACACAATTTGTCCTTGTGCCTTGGCTCAGTTAGTTGTGATCCATGTCAGCTAATTTAATTGTTAAAATTAAAGTTTAAATATGATTTGATCTGCTGGTGAAATCAATGCCTTTATGGATGCCTTAATCCAGTGGTCCCCAACCTTTTAGGGCTGCTGGGAGCCTGGGGACAGGGGCTGCGCATGTGCCGGGCACCCGGGGTCCGGGGCGCATGAATGGCTCAGGCCGGCCCTGGTCACTAGGAGGGCGCACTAGGAGGGGGCCCATGGCGCCCGCTGGGGCGCCGCATTGGGGACTGCTGCCTTAATCTGTTCCTCTGCATGATTTTTATCCATTCTAAATATTCTTGGCTCTCACTTTATTATTGTGGGCATATGAACTAAAATAGGAATTTGCCCATGTGAAAATGGGCTGCATTTTTGTTTTTTACATAGAATCATAGAATCATAGAATCATAGAATAATAGGACTGGAAGGGACCTCGAGAGGTCATCGAGTCCAGCCCCCCGCCCTCAAGGCAGGACCAAGCTCCGTCTACACCATCCCTGACAGATGTCTATCTAACCTGTTCTTAAATATCTCCAGAGAGGGAGATTCCACCACCTCCCTTGGCAATTTATTCCAATATTTGACCACCCTGACAGTTAGGAATTTTTTCCTAATGTCCAATCTAAACCTCCCCTGCTGCACTTTAAGCCCATTACTCCTTGTCCTGTCCTCAGAAACCAAGAGGAACAAATTTTCTCCTTCCTCCTTGTGACACCCTTTTAGATATTTGAAAACCGCTATCATGTCCCCCCTTAATCTTCTTTTTTCCAAACTAAACAAGCCCAGTTCATGAAGCCTGGCTTCATAGGTCATGTTCTCTAAACCTTTAATCATTCTTGTTGCTCTTCTCTGTACCCTTTCCAATTTCTCCACATCTTTCTTGAAATGTGGCGCCCAGAACTGGACACAGTACTCCAGCTGAGGCCTAACTAGTGCAGAGTAGAGCGGCAGAATGACTTCACGAGTTTTGCTTACAACACACCTGTTGATACAACCTAGAATCATATTTGCTTTTTTTGCAACAGCATCACACTGTTGACTCATATTCAACTTGTGGTCCACTATGACCCCTAGATCCCTTTCTGCCATGCTCCTTCCTAGACAGTCGCTTCCCATCTTGTATGTATGGAACTGATTGTTCCTTCCTAAGTGGAGCACTTTGCATTTCTCTTTATTAAACCTCATCCTGTTTACCTCTGACCATTTCTCTAACTTGCTAAGGTCATTTTGAATTATGTCCCTATCCTCCAAAGAAGTTGCAACCCCACCCAGTTTGGTATCATCTGCAAACTTAATAAGCGTACTCTCTATCCCAATATCTACATCATTGATGAAGATATTGAACAGTATGGGTCCCAAAACAGACCCTTGAGGAACTCCACTTGTTATCCCTTTCCAGCAGGATTTAGAACCGTTAACAACAACTCTCTGACTACGGTTATCCAGCCAATTATGCACCCACCTTATCGTGGCCCTATCTAAGTTATATTTGCCTAGTTTATCAATAAGAATATCATGCGAGACCGTATCAAATGCCTTACTAAAGTCTAGGTATATGACATCCACCGCTTCTCCCTTATCCACAAGGCTCGTTATCTTATCAAAGAAAGCTATCAGATTAGTTTGGCATGACTTGTTCTTCACAAACCCATGCTGGCTATTCCCTATCACTTTATTACCTTCCAAGTGTTTGCATATGATTTCCTTAATTACCTGCTCCATTATCTTCCCTGGGACAGACGTTAAACTGACCGGTCTGTAGTTTCCTGGGTTGTTCTTATTCCCCTTTTTATAGATGGGCACAATATTTGCCCTTTTCCAGTCTTCTGGAATCTCCCCTGTCTGCCATGATTTTTCAAAGATCATAGCTAAAGGCTCAGATACCTCCTCTATCAGCTCCTTGAGTATCCTGGGATGCATTTCATCAGGACCTGGTGACTTGCTGACATCTAACTTTCCTAAGTGATTTTTAACTTGTTCTTTGTGTATCCTATCTTCTAAACTTACCCTCTCTCTGCTTGTATTCACTACGTTAGGCACACCTCCAGACTTCTCGGTGAAGACCGAAACAAAGAAGTCATTGAGCATCTCCGCCATTTCCAAGTTTCCTGTTACTGCTTCTCCCTCCTCACTGAGCAGTGGGCCTACCCTGTCCTTGGTCTTCCTCTTGCTTTTAATGTATTTATAAAAGGTCTTCTTGTTTCCCTTTATGCCTGTAGCTAGTTTGATCTCATTTTGTGCCTTTGCCTTTCTAATCTTGCCCCTGCATTCCCGTGTTGCTTGCCTATATTCATCCTTTGTTATTTGTCCTAGTTTCCATTTTTTATATGACTCCTTTTTTATTTTGAGATTGTGCAAGATCTCCTTGTTAAGCCAAGCTGGTCTTTTGCCATATTTTCTATCTTTCCTACACAGCGGAATTGTTTGCTTTTGGGCCCTTAACAACGTCCCTTTGAAATACTTCCAACTCTCCTCAGTTGTTTTTTCCCTTCAGTCTTGCTTCCCATGGGACCTTACCTACAAGTTCTCTGAGCTTATCAAAATCTGCCTTCCTGAAATCCATTACCTCAATTGTGCTGGTCTCCCTTCTACCTTTCCTTAAGATCATGAACTCTATTATTTCGTGATCACTGTCCCCTATACTGTCTTCCACTTTCAAGTTCTCAACTAGTTCCTCCCTATTTCAACATATTTTTATTTTATCTTTTTCATAATAGTAAGCAGACTTCTAGTGACCCTTAGTTCGTTCTTTATATATGAATTGAATCAAATGTTTTATTGTTGAGGTGTGGGAAAGTTTACTGTCATCAAATTCTTTTGCCTTTAAGGTAATATTTGGACTCTCCTTTCAGTGTAGCTAATCCTTTAATGTTAATACAGTATGCTAATATAGCTACAGTATATAATTTGATGGTGATGACTGGAATTCAACAATTCAAAAGACATAATTTAGTTTCATGAACTGTAATATTTTTAACATTTCTATAGAGCAAACCTGGGATCAGTGGAATTGATGGAGAACATGGACCTGAAGGCTTTTATGGTGATATTGGTGACCCAGGAAAACAAGGACCAAAAGGTAGAATGTTTTCAAAATGGAAAATAAAAACATGCAATATTCTGTTGAATGAATTACATCAGGAACAAGGGTGAAAGTGCTATTGTTGACAAATAGGGTTGTTATGTAAAGGCACATTTTTGAAATTTTAGGTGAACATGGAGACAAAGGAGATAAAGGTGCCAAAGGTTTTGTGTTTGCTGGCCTTGAAGGCAATCAGGGCCCAAGAGGTACTCCTTTTCATTCTTGAAATCTTTCTTCCTAGAAGTATATTTCTTCATTCATGTTGTACAGTCAGCGGGGTGACAGCTACCGTGGGCCCCGATAAAGGTGTGGGAGGACCAGCTTGAAGTAGCAGGGTCTTGGGTGGTCAGCTCTTAGCACCACTCAGACTATGGCATACTTCCCTCCAGCCTTCAGAGCCGCATGGAGCTGTGGAGCAGCACTCCAGTACTCTGTCGGCAATTCAAGATATATAAAAATAAATATATAATACATGGCTCTTTGCACTCTAGCCACAGCTATTTTGGCTCTTCTTCTCTAACTGGTTGGCCACCCCATTCTAGCCCAGTTCCCTTGCTGTTTGGTGAGCTGGCACCAGCAGTGATATTGAGATAACTCCACCAACCCCCATTAAGGGCTCATGCTCAAGGACTGAAAGTATGACTGGTCATATACAAGCTGGACAGGGGAAAATAAAGGGCAACAGTCATGTGCAGTTTGGCCTGATGTGATTCAGTCTTTATGAGAAGGTTCTTTATATGGATTTTTCGAAGTATCCATGTAAATAATTTTATGAGAAAAGCTGCATGATCTTTATCTGCTTTTGACTTAAAGGAAATCAATCTGTAAATAACCAGACTATGTTAAAAGTTTACCGTAAAGTGTTTACAATTAAGAAGTTTTTTAAAATCTGCCATGACAGGATGCTGTGCAGACATACAACCTATTGAGGCTTTACATGGTGCTTTTATAAATCTTTTCAGAAGTTTGCATATACACAGGATCATACCGGCATCAATTCACTGGATACCTCTCCTATATCCATAGCACATGAAAGTGTTTACCAAAACCACCATAAAGCAGTATGTGCTACATAGGCACAAAAGGAGAAAAGGGGGCAATTGCCCAGGGACTGGGGACTCAAAGGGGTGCTGCCACTCTGGACCCCATTGAATTGCCACCAGAGGACTGGAGATAGATAGAAATAGTACAAAAAATGTAGTGATAAAAATAACATTAAAGGACATTTTGGACAAAAACCAATAAAAAAGTCTCTAGTCATTTAAAAAGTTCACGGCCAATCCATAGATCTTCAGAGAACTAGACAAGGAACAAACATCAAATAAAAAACTTCCCACCTTTAAAAAAATACAGTAATATTCTCACACCAAAAAAAAAGCATCCCCACCATGTATTTTAAATTTAACATGAATGCTCTATTAGGTCCTGTGAGTTTTTAAAAATTAAACTGAACTGAGAAGTAAATTAGCACAATATGAAGTGCCTGTTTCACTCCACGTTGTTGATCACTGGTATGGTTTCCTCATTTTTTTACTTATGAAGATTATGGTTTTTTATAGTTCTAAAAATTCAGGTCTGTTTCAGACTGCAAATATGAGAGGTTCAAAAACAATAAGGAAGAGACTCATATCTCAGAATAATTGCTTCAGCCTGGCAAACAATGGCCTTTGAATTTTTTTTTAAGAAACACAGTGTAAACCAGGACAATGTAGCACTTTAAAGACTAACAAGATGGTTTATTAGATGATGAGCTTTCGTGGGCCAGACCCACTTCCTCAGAAGTGGGTCTGGCCCACGAAAGCTCATCATCTAATAAACCATCTTGTTAGTCTTTAAAGTGCTATGTTGTCCTGCATTTTGCTTCAGCTACCCCAGACTAACATGGCTACATTTCTATCAGTGTAAACCAGGTACATGCTGATTCTTTTTTTGCCCTGGAATTTAAATATGACATCTGCCTTATTCTGTATCTATGAAGACTTTGAGTTTAAGGTGTTTCAGCCTCAGCCCCCCTCCCTTGCTCTAACCCAATGCCCCACCCCTCCACCAGAGCCAGGCACCCCCAGCTCTAACCCAATGCCCTCCGCCCTCCCCCACAGAACCAGGCACCCCCTGCCCCCTGCTCTAACCCAATGCTCACCCCTCCCATAGCCAGGCACTCCCAGCCTCCTCCCCCCGTGCTCTAACCTAATGCCTGGGTCTCACTGAAGCTGCTGCTGCCACACGCTTCTCCCTCCAGGTGCTGGGGCACATGTGCAGAGGGGACGGCCGTAAGCAATTCGGGCACACAGTTCAGAACTACCAAAACCTGCATTTCTTGGAGCAAAGAGCTGCATGTGGCTCAAGAGCTACAGGTTGGCCACCCCTGGGCTAGAAGAACCATAGGTCTTTTCCATCTATTGCTCATATTGAGTTTTAAGCATAATTTACATTTGTCTTGCTTGCTGCTCTTTTTTTAAGGTGCATGTGGAAGAAGTGGACTAGCGTTCAATGGAATTCCAGGTCTGCCTGGCCCATGGGGACATATGGAGCAGTCTGGTTTGAGAGGATACCCAGGAGATAGAGGGCCTCCAGGTATATGTAAGGTTGTGATCCTTATATTCAAAATGATATAGATCAGCAAAGCGAGCCTTCATCTTCTTTTATATGACAAAGAAACTGAGTGAAGATTTCAGAGACAGGAACGTCAAAAAACCCTTGTGCTGTGGAAGAAAACGAGTGTAAATGAACAATGAAAGTATGTATTTGCTTTCTTTTAAAAATGGAAACCTTTTGAAAAATACATTTGAATCATTGTGTAATTTAGTTAGTTCACTTTGTGAATTTTTAATGCAAAATAACAACATGATAATCCTACCTAAAAAGTGGCAAACCACTCCACTTAAATGGCACCTGTTGTGATAGAGTATATTTGATTTTAAAATACTTTTACTTTTTAATTGTGGAATAGAATCTGCAACTTATATTAATATAAAGCAATGCCATCCAAACAACTATTTTTTTCTGAATTTACCTAGGAGTGTTTTATAATAAAAGTTGAAAAACACTGGTAAGTTTTTTTAATAATATGGAAGTCCATCTCATGTGATGCCTACCTGTATTTCCAACATGAAGTATTTATGGCATCTGCTGAAGATAAGATTGTCCACCCATGGCATATCTTCATGAACAAGCAATATATGCATTAATTTTAAGGGGAAGGAACGCTGCTAATTTCAGCAGTGATTAAAACCTATTTTGCAAAGAAATTACTAAGAATAACTCACAGGCCATAATATAATGTTGCTTATTCAATGCACTGTGTCAGGACTTAACACCATTTACTTTTCTTGCTGTTCTTGCAAAAAACTTTTTATCACATGTCAATATTTTATTTGAATCTCAAGATAGGACTCATTCTTGGTCTGCATGTCATTCTACTGCATCATCAAGCTTAGTTCCAGCTTGTATTTGAATGGCAAGTCTTTGCTCCCTGCTTTAATCTTGTTATGTGTGTAAAACTTTGAACCCATAGGGCCCCCAGCCCCTAATTGGGAATTTCTATGCAATACTGCAGCACAAAGAACTAGTATGATGTTGACAATAGTATGGAGGGCACCAATACTGACTGTTTTTGGAAACTTCACTGCTCCTATAATAACTCTTGTAAGTGAATGCAAAATTTCCATGGGTTCCAATACATCCAAGGATTGACTCAAGCTGTTTATAATCATACTTAAACAGACTAAACTCCAGATCCAGTGTTTGGGATCAGATTGAAAATGCAATGAGGGGAAATTACACTTATGTGCACAGAATAAGCATTATCTCCACTGTTTTGAGATCAGGGAATATCTATGCTTTTGGGGCAAAGGACTTGTTCTGATGCTCCACCCTCAAAATCTAATGGCTCATGTAGGATTTCAGAAATCTTTCAGAAGGAATACTCTTGTGCCAACAAACTATTTTCTAGAGTAACCTTGGAAGGATAAAGTAGTTACTGAACATTTTTCATTGTCTTTAACTTAGGAGTTACCCATAATGTTCAAATGACCTATGACTGAGGAAGTGGGAAAGAGGGGACACTCAGAGCTCCAATGATGGAAGTCCTGTTTGCAGTATCTGCTCAGGAAGAAAAAAAATCATATCTTCACCTCCACAACAACATTTGCAAAGAGTAGCAGGACTACTCCAGGTGATAAATAACTTCACTAATCCAGGTTGTTTGCATCCAATAACAGAATTCAGTGTTTCTCACTTTGAGGACTTTTCGTATTGAAAATGAGACACTTGCTTAAAAATCAATTGCAAGGTTTAGTTTAGGCCCAAATACTATGTATGAGGCTAAGAAGCTGACTTGGGCACAGTAGAATTGTGCAATAGGATGGAGGAAAGAAATTATTTTCCCCAACCCAAGATGTAGTGGTGACTGCAGAGCAGCTCAGTTTCTATAAGTCTACTTGTGTAGGTTTTATATGGACACTTTTATGGCAAAGATCACCTGATGTTCCTGTTAAATATGGTTCTACAAGTTCTTAGAGTGTGAATAAGTTTTTAATCTTGGAAGAAATTCTTCAATGGTTTTTGGTGATAGTTTCTTTGGACACGCTGTGTTAAGTGATGAAGGCGTATCTTCTTTACCCTAGTTCCTTTAACTGGAGTCAGTTCTTGAGACAGGCTCCTCTTTTATCTGCCATGGTTAAGAAGGACCAGTGGATCCATAATAAGGTAGGCACCCCTTCCTCCAAAGAGATGCTTAACCAATCAATGTAATTAATTAAAAGAAAAATAAATGCATATTTTAGAGAGAGAACTTTTCAACATGGTATCAGAACATGCTAAATACGCCAAGAAATTCAATTATAAATCAGTTGTTAAATATGAAAAGCATATTAAGTGAGTTTTCATGTATGTTTCCCATTGGAGGCAGAAGCATACCAATAAAAGAATGTAGCTGCATTAAAAAAAATAATTTACCATATAAATCTTGCTACAGTTTAAGCCCTGTTCTATGACAATTCTGCATAAATCTTCCACTGGGTGGCTGGTACTCTAAAAAAATATTACTGATTCACTCATACATATCTTTGGTAAGATATTAAACTATAAAACCTCTGTTTCTCGCTTCCTCTATCCTATCTACCCACAATTCCTCAGCAACCATACTGCTTTGTTCTCCCTGCTGCCTGCCCTGAAGAAGGAGAAGGCTGATACTGAGTTTGAGAGAAAGGGAGCCCTCCCAATTTTGGTAGGTGATTGCTGTTGCTGAAGTTAAGAGGGAGTCTGTACCAATGCTTCTGTTTACTCATTTCTTCCTGCTTGTGGGAGGAGGCTAGGCCCCACCTTGCTCAGCCCTCCACTGATGCTGTATCTATGGGAGGCCAATGCTGCCATTGTTGGACGGGTCAGATATTGTCTTTTGCCATTCTTCATAGAATCCTAAAATCCTAGGGCTGGAAGAGACCTCAGGAGATCCAGTCCAACAACCCTAATAAAAGCAGGACCAATCCCAACTAAATCATCTCAGCCAGGGCTTTGTCAAGCTGGAACTTAAAAACCTCCAGTGATGGAGATTCCACCACCTCGCTGGGTAACCCATTCCAATGCTTCACGGCCTTGCTAGTGATTTTCCTAATATTCAACCTAGACCTCTCCCACTGCAACTTGAGACCATTGCTCTTTGTTCTGTCCTCTGTCATAACTGCGATCAGTCTCTCCATCCTCTTTGGAACCCTCCTTCAGGTAGTTGATGGTTGCTATCAAATCCCCCCTAACTCTTCTCTTCTCTAGGCTAAATAAGACTAAATCCCTTTGCCTCTTCTCATAAGTCATATGCTCCAGCCCCCTAACCATTTTGGTTGCCCTCCGCTGGATTCTCTCCAATGTGTCCACATTGGAGATCCCTGTAATGGGGAATCAAAAATTGGACACCATATTCTTTAGTACTGAATAAAGGGGAAAATCACTTTTCTAGATCTACTGGCAATGTTCCTACTAATGCACCCCAATATGTTGTTAGCCTTCTTGGCTACAAGGACACACTGTGGACTCATATCCAACTTCTCGTCTACTGTAACCCCCAAATCCTTTTCTGTAGAACTGTTGCTTAGTCATTCAGTCCCCAGTGCTTGGGATTCGTTCATCCCAAGTGCAGGAGTCTGCAGTTGTCCTTGTTGAACCTCATCAGATTTCTTTTGGTCCAATTTTCCAATTTGTCTAGGTCACTCTGGACCCTATTTCTACCATCCAATGTATTTACCCGTTCCCCTACCTTAGTATCATCCATGAATTTGCTGAGGGTGCAATCAGTCTCCTTATCCAGGTCCTTAATAAAGATGTTGAACAAAACTAATCTTTGGGGCACTCTGCTTAATACCAACTGCCAACCAGACATGCATTGATCACTACCCATTGAGCCCAGTGACCTAACCAGCTTTCTGTCCACCTTACAGTCTGTTTATCCAATACTTCTTTAACTTGCTGGCAAGAATACTGTGGAAGACAGTATCAAAAGTTTTGCTAAAGTCCAGGTATATCACATTCACTGCCTTCCCCATATCCACATAGCCACTTACCTTGTTATAGAAGACAGTCAGGTTGGTCAGGCATGACTTGCCCTTGGTGAATTCATGTTGACTGTTCCTGATCATTTTCCTCTCTTCCAAGTGATTCAAATGGATTCCTTGAGGATCCCCTTCATGATTTTTCCTAGGACTGACTTGAGACACGAATGCAGAATCCTGACTGAGGCAACTTTGAAACAGTCCTTGCTATGAAAGCCTAAAAGACAAACCAACAAACAGAGGAAATAGATATGATACACAAGTAACTGGTCAAGGTGCAGGTTGGCATGTTTTGTTAAACTTCGTGGATTTGTATGGGGGATGGGAATAGAAGATAGACAGGAAATAGGATGAAAGTAGAAAAGAGACTAAGTATAGAATTGTGCTGAAAGAACAGTGGAATTAAAGGGGGAAGCAAACCAGTATGGAGAGGATCAAACCAGTATATTTGATCAGAGAAGAGTTCAAAGTCTGTACACATTTACATGCTCATTATCATAGCTTGAGACGTAGGATAGTGAGGCTGTGCTGAGGATGGAGAGATTCTATAGGACTGTTTTTGAAGCATCCTCTGTTGGACACATGGGTGGCAATTTTGCAGATCATTGCCTGAGAGAGGCTATGGTTTGCAAAGGGTAAGGGCCCTGGAATTGCTCTTGCAGTAGCTTGTACTCTCCCAAACAATGGAAAGTGTTCTACCCACATCTGCTCTCTGTATTGAAAGTGACACTGAAGCATTTCTGAATCAGTTTTTAAATGTCTGTGGTTTCTCTGTTCATTGTTGTAAACACTCTCTTAGATGTTTGAAAATAACTCCCCCCACACTTATTCTGGCTATTTTCCCATTCAATGAATATTTTCTCCTCAGAATGTATCCGACAGTGTTTTTTATCCATGAAAATTTATGTCCAAATTAATGTGTTGTCTTTAAGGTGCCATAGGACTCCTAATTGTTTTCTCCTCTCTCACTTGTTTGAAGAGCATGTTGCCACCATGGTTGTTGGTGTTAGCACCACTCCTGGTGATGTGCATTAGTCTTATCAGCAGAGCACTGATGACTAATTGGGTTTCTTACTGTTTGTTGATCCAGTTCTTTATTGGAGCAAGGAATCAGTAACATACTAATGCCCAGTTCCTTAAAGGTATTTAGGAGCCTAGCTCCCATTGAAATCAATGGATACCTAAATATCTTTGAGGATCTGCACATGAGTGATCCTCAGTAGTGGATTTAAGAATTTACATATTAACCCAGCCAAACAATAGTATTTTTAGCAGCCAGGTGGAGCTCTTGGAGACCAATTGGTTAGCTGGTCCAAAATGTGTATCATTGTTTGTTCTGCAGTCTCCCTCCAGATGTAGGAGGAGCAATGTGGCTCAGAACTGGAAGCCATGGAAGGTGAGTCGAACAGAGTGGTCCTATGATGATGTGCATTGTAGAGCTGAGTTGCACGTCAACAAGTTTGGTGAGTGCTGACTCACTCAATACTGATTCACACTGCTTTGCTATTGTGTATGAGATAGCAAAGGCTGAGGTCCTTAGGGCTGGAATGTCAGCTCGTCATGAAGAATCTGCTAGTTTGCTGAGAAGTTTGTTGTGTGTCTTGACCTTTACTGTTATCTTGCTTAGGTGGCTTTTGTGTGTCAATGTTTGGATGAGGATCACACCTAAGTAAACTGAATATGCTTCATGCTTCAGCCACTAACCTTAGAGGAAAGGAAATGATAAGTTATTAAATTCTTTAAAAAAGCCAGAGGAAATTAAAAATATCAAAAAAAGGGAGAGGTCTGGGAGTGATATTTTTTATTTATTTGGATTCAGAACACATGGAACAGCCTGCTGGATTTAAGTACTATTCCATGGTCAAATGTGTTTTTCACCATGGTCCTTTGTAGTGAGGAATCTATAATTTAAGACAAACCACAATCAGTTCTTGGGATGGAAAAATAACTCTTTATTTATGAGAAGACAGGGAAAGGAAAAGTTTTTATTATCTTCTGTTCTGTAACTACTTTTAATTTCCATTTCAATGGTTACAGAAACGGCAACTGAAGACAATTAACCATGTTGGGTCTTCATTGGTTTGCACAAAGTGCACATTATTTGTGAAAGAATGCTCGTGTGCTAACAGTGCAAGTCCTTACAAATCATAGGTTAATCATTTTGAACTATAGATAGGCAAGTCTTATGGGACAATACTAATGCATGTAGTACAAAACCAAGTATATGTACATGCAACAATATACATATTGCATAGGAGCACCCATCCTGCACTCACGACTAGAATTCATGTTGATTCTCACAGGCTAATAATGAGAGACTTTTCTTCAGTTTGCTACATTCAAAATGGTTGCCAGGAAGCAGCAACCACAAATACAATTTAGCTGTTATTGCAGCATTTCAGTAATTCCTTCCTCCCTCTTTGGGTTCATCAGCCTTATAACTCCCTCCTCTCAGAGAGGGCACGTCTACACTAGCTCGTTAGTTTGAGCTAGGTAGGGTAATTAGGGCAAGCGGAGGTGCAAATGAAGCCAGGGATTTAAATATCCTAGGCTTCATTTGCATATTCCTGGGGGCTACCATTTTTAAATCCCCCTTAGTCCGAACTCCATGCCCGCGGCTACATGCGACACGGAGTAGGTAGTTCAAATTAAAGATCCTAATTTGAACTACCGTTACTCCTAATTCCAAGAGGCATAACGGTAGCTCGAATTAGGATCTTTAATTAGATCCTGGTCAGTTTTAAAAGCGGCGG